CAGGAAACTGCATCACAGAAAACCTTTGTGCCTCCTCTACCACGTAGCAGTGAAATCAAGGATTAAATGGATTAGATCACAGGGACTTGACCTAAATCTTATGCTGTAGGATGAGGCATGCTGCCAGGCATGGGAAGACTTGTTTGACCCTGTTCTCCTACTGTGTGGATAAATCCAGGTGGGACATCACACACACCAGTGTAACTGTTGATGCTTACATGAGAAGATCCAACTGGTGTTCTTCTGAATTCAGGTTAGGGAGCTGCTCTTCTTCAGTGGCCACACAAGTTCAGTTGCAGTTCATGTCTGCATTCAAAGGCCACTCCAGTGGCAGACCAAGATATTTTACCAACTTCTTTACCTGATTTCAGGTGAATTGGCAGGTTTAGTGCTCTGCCTTCAAGGCTGTCCTGCCGATTTAATTAACTCCTGTTACCTAAGATTAATAGCTGGTACAATGTGAGACTAGAACTTCAACTTCTCCTAAATGGATTAGGGATTGCATCTGTAGGAGACTCAAGCTTTTCTTACAACATCAGTCAGACCTTTCTCAGCTGGTGGTGTGGAACGGGGACGGAAATGGCCTCAGCTAGACAGTAAATCCTTTTGCTATAGCCTGCAGTATTCCTCTGGGACATGCATACAAAGTACTTCTCTTTAAAAAAAAATTTAAAAATCTAGTCTTTGCTACCTAATACTCTATTGGGAAGCCACATTAGAAAAACGTCTCTCCATTAAAAATGTATACAAGTGCTCAAGAACAAGCAGAATTCCACACTATTAGGAGCTACTCTGTGTGTAGTTGAAATGCCAATCCATAGCTTCAGCTTCCACGTTTATGCAGAGACTTGGAATGGAAGTCAATGCCTATTAAAGGTGGGCAGAATTCCAGCCATCTTCAGAGAGCTAGGATCTCACGCTGGACTACTTGGATCTTCTTTTTTGAAATGACAAACACTTTTTATTTCCCATATAGTTAGTTACCTTTTCTGTGTAGCCAAATCCTACCTCTAAGCAAATGTATTTCAAGTGTTTTTAGGCTCAGTCAGTTTTGGTCTGACTCAGTCAAAAATAAGAGGTAATTACAGTTCGATCAAAACACAGGAGATGAAGGAGTTTGTCATCTAGTAAAGTTTGGAAGATTCTCATAAATAGTTTTGGTGAAGGCATAAAGTGTTGGCAACTTGCAATTAGCCTTGAAGTTTGTTTTTAATAAAGGTATAAAATGTAGCACCTCAGGCTTCTGCTTTGCCTCCTCCACATGCAACAACCTCAGCACACATGCATATCACCAGACAAGGTGAGTTTCTCTTAAGCTGAATTGTAGCTTTGGGGATTACAAAACAAGATCTGGTCATTCAGGAGCACCCACAGACAGGCCCTGAAACCCAAATGTTGGTACCTAATCCCATCCTCTTGTATATCTTATTTCTATAGCTCCTAACTGGCTTGACTGGAACACAAGCCAATTCTGCTTCATGTATGCATCCAGAGGGCTCCACAGCTGAGTCTGTTTATGCCCCACATTGTTCTGTGTGCCATACAACTATTTAGCTTTTCATACAATTAATTCTGTGCCTGTGCATAGCCTCTTCAGTTAATCTGACAGCTTTCTTAACTAGTCCCAAGTTTTGGGTCTGTGGGCCAGAAGATGAGGCAGAAAGCAAATCTGAAATATACCAACAGTATCACCATGGAGCTACCGATGCTGCTGCCCACAATGTTCACCCCAGCATGGGCAGGCTACTGTGGACAGAGCTGCAGGTGAGCTGATGAATCCTTAGTTTGTCCAGGAATTCAGCTGGTTGAAGGATGATACGTCAAATGGGCAAGTTGGATTTTGTCTTTCTGCACTCTGGATGCCCAGGATCTGCTAGGCTGGAAGCTCCTCCCTTCCCAACTTCTCCACCAAGCACCAAGCCTTCCTGAAGAGGTCTGAGTTTCCATGCTGTGGAGCACTAAACCTTGATCCCCGCAGAGCTTGTCCTTCCAAATTTTTCACACTTACTTCAGTCTTTGAAAGAGTAGGGGAATTCACCGCATACAAATTACCAACAGGTACTGAGGATACACTCCGGCAGTTTTCTGCAGAAAATGCAAGTGATGGGGAGGGGGAAGACAATCACACTAGATTTCATGTAAATAGTTTAATTATATTTCAATGCTTAAAACACAGAAACGAATTAAATTACATCATAATACTTCTGCTAAATTATACATATACTTCCAAGAACTGTGAGAGGAGGCGCTATTGAACTAAAAGAATACTCCAGTACAAGCCCAGCAAATACCCGTAATATTCTTCTAGTCTTCTCTGTACTTCTTTAATCTAAGGGCAGTCATCACAGGACAAAGCCTACCATTACAGGAAGAACGGTTAAAGAGAATTCCTCTGTAAGTGTGTTTGTTATACAAGATATATCTCAGCATCAATGTGGAACAAGGTGCATGTTTTTGCACCTGAGCAGGCAGATGCACTGCTTGGAAGCTGCCTGTGCAGCACACGGAGTTGGGTAAAGAGCATGAAGTAGGCTGTTGGTTTGAGGAAACAGCTCAGCTTACAGTTGCCTTTTATCGAGTTTAAAACAACAAATGATGTTCCAATCCTAAGAGTTCTAGGGGAAACATTGTGATTTAGGACAGCCACACATCCCTGCTGCTGCTTGCATCCCTGTCCTGCTGCAGAGCATGGGAGCGTGACAGGCAGCGATGTGCCAGCTGCTGAAAAGCAAAATCTGATGTCTCTGGGGCTGGCTGCCCTCGGCGAGCTCTTGGAGGAGATGGTAAGTGTGCATGGGGGGTGGTGATGATGTATTTGCTTCTCAGCTGGTCACATAGGCATAACCTCTGGGAAGACCCACAGTGTCCAAATTCTAAGGACCTAAGCCAGACTACATTTAGTATTAGTACCCACACACCTTTCTTCTAACGGTATCTCTGGAGCGCAAACACCAGCAGCAACCAGCAGCCCGGGAGTGCCTCCTGCCAGATCTCCTGGGTATGGAGGATGGGCTGTTTTCCACACGTGATGACACTCCTAGCCCTAATACACTCCCAGAACTCCCTGGCTCTAAAAAGAAAGAGGGATACTGAAAAATGAAAGCAACTTAGCCCTGCAAAACTGCCATGAGGGAAGCTGTGCCAGTGAAGGAGGGAGGGAGGGCTGGTAAGGAGCTATGCACTGCAGGGGTCAGTGGCACATGCCCAGCAAAGAGTCTGCATTTAATGAATATCAAAAAAAAAATCACAGTGGGGAAAGGAAAAAAAAAAAGAAAATATTTTGGAGAACAAAAACTAACTGGCAGGTCCAAGCTTGCAACAAAGCACATGATACCTGAATTGCCACTCAGTGATACACAAGTAACTCCTTGCATAAAGCCTACCTTTAGATCTGCATCCAAATTTTGGCTTGCCCTGATTCCCTTTTGACTTGTGCTGTGGATGGAATATGATCTGACTGACAAATGCATGTACTGAAAAAAAATCAGGAGGTGATCAGCACGTGGCTGGGCACTGATACTTGCATGCAGGCTCTGCTGCTGGCCTCTGGCTGCTGTGCTGGTGGCCACCAAAAGGCTCTGCTGAGGACAGCCCGGATGCCGCACTGCAGCATGCCAAGGTGGCCAGAGACCCCTTCGCACTCTCTCTCTCCTGCAGCCCTGAAGGACACAGAGGCAGAGATGCTGCAGGGTTACAGGGAAACTCCTGGCTTACCTGTCTAGTCCCACCTTCTGCATTAGCTGGTAACATGAACAGA